ATCTTTAGGAAGGCTTGGGACACTCACTCACAAACAGGGTGAAACGGTCTTAAGAACACTGAACTGCATGCTAATTAGAAGAAAAGTAGTTTTAGCTTAGTGGCCTATAGTAAGGACTGGACAAACCAGACCTCAGGTAGAGAAGGTGAGAGACATTCAGGACTGACTAGCCCTTAGCACCAACAAAACCCCTAGCTATTAATACTGCAACAAACACATATACATATACCATATACCAGGGGACTCTGCTTTCACACAACTATACTGAGTGTCGCAAGAATCTCGTGCTCATATTGTCTGACATTAACAGTCCTGAGTCATGTTGCTATGAGAGAACCATGATCTTACATATTATCAGCCAGACTCAGTGTGATTTCTTTTTCCACAGGAAGGGAAATGTTTCATCTGACGGATATCATTAGAGTCGACAAGGAAGGTACTTCATTTTAAGGAATGTGATGCCCCAGATGGAGGAAGATATGAGAAAGGTGTTATAAAATCAGTGAGTAGGAGAGTGGGCTGTGTGTCACTAGATCAAGGACAGAGTAGAAACTCACAATAACTGTAGCTCAACACCTCTCCCTTTGCCCTCTGTCACATTGTGGGAGTGGGAGGAGCCGCGATGAACAACGGTATTTAGTCAACGCCCCTACTGAGGGTTGGAAGTACTGGTGTGAGGTTATGGAGAACCAAAAATAACACAAAAAAGGGGAAAACCAAGAATAAAAAGCAAAGACAAAAATGTGCCGCTGTGCACCATGACATCCAGGCTGGGCTTACCCTATTTAACAGGGTCCAGTCTGGAAGAGCAGGGTGCACGAAGCCCAAACAAATTCAAACTTGATGTGTGAAAAGGGTCAGCCTGCCCAGATAGAGATGCATGACGGAACAGGCAAAAAGAAAATAAAAAGAAGAAAACAATGGCCTTACGCTTGGGTACAATCCCTCTGGGACTGCCAGTGGAAGTTCCTCCCCTTCCAGGGGTTTGCTCTGCTCGTCCCTTCGGGGGGTGTCAGTTTTTTTTTAAAGAGCCTTCGCAGCTGTGACTTGTCCTTAAGTAGCCAGAACAGCTGTGACTATTAAAATAATGCATCGCCCTTCATCCAGAGTTTTGCCTCCACACTGAACATGCCCCTTTGAATGCCACACCTCTTCTTCTCCTCCATCACCTTTCATTGCTTTCCCAGTCAGGCTCTCAACCTTTTTTTCAGTAGTTCCTGTACCATTCTTCCTTTACTTATTTCCAATGATCTTCTATTCTCCATCTCCTGTAAAAAATATTCCTCAATTGCATAAAAACAGCCATTCATTCCTCGTACAATCACTTCTATTTTCTCAGCAGCTCTGTGACCTGAGTGGGTTGTCCCTGTTCTGGTTGTTGAGAACATCATACCTGTTCCCACATTTCTCCAACAGCCACTCGAGATTCTGCCCTCCTCTATGTGCAGTTCAATGGTCGTGTCACACCCTAGGTAAACAGTACTACTGTGTGTCTCCAGAATGTCTCATTGCTCCAGATGTTTCTGAACTGAACACTATTCTCTGATTGCATCCAGATTAAGCAACAGGAGGAGAGCATGGGGTCCCAAGGGGCATGGAGACACACTGGGATCAATCACCTTTTTAAGCCAATCTAGAGTAGCCTCTACAGGCCACTGCTGTTCATAGCTGTTCAAGAGAGAAATACCAGTCTGGTGAATCAATCACAGTGACCTGCCTCTTCACACACTCCTTAGTTACTCTCTTAGCGTCTGACTTCTCTTTGCCAGGATATTGACATTTTTTCAAACCTGATTTGCCCCCAGCAGGATAGCCCTGATCTTCGAGAGAAACTGTGAATCTCAGGGGAATCAGTCTCTCTGCCCTGTGTTTCTGCAGCAGGGGATCTCTTCCCTATAAGAGAGAAAGGCACAGTTAGAGCTAGACAGTCCTGAGAGCTCAGCTACACAGCTGTGCCACTGTTCCAGTCCAGCAGCTATATCACCCTACAACTCACAACCTCCTCTGAAAAACTAAGGTTGCTGCTGGAAATGGTGTTAGTGGGGCCAGTAGGGGGCGCTCACCCTGTGGTCTGTGTGGGTTCTAATGCCCCAGTATAGTGACAGGAATCCTATACTCTGAAAAGTGCTGTCCTTAGAATTAGACATAAATCTGAGGTCCTGACTCTCTGTGGTCATTAAAAATCCCATGGCTTCTTGTAAAGAGTAGGGGTGTTACCCTGACCAAATTTCCCCCTGGCCTTTACCAATCATGTCCTCCTAATAATCCCCATCTAAGAATTGGCATCATTACTCTGTTCCCCTCTCCGCTGATAGCTGGTGTGTGTTGAGCGTACTGGTGCACTATGGCTGCCGTCGCATCTTCCAGGTAGATGCTGCACATTGGTGGTGGTGGAGAGGAGTCCCCATTACCTGTAAAGCACTTTGAGGGGAGTGTCCAGAAGAGCACTATATAACTGTAAGGAAATATTATTATTATATTATTATTATTGTTATATTAATACAACAACCACTGATCACAACACCTGAGCAAGCTACTCAGTAACTTGCAGACTTATAATGTTCCTGTTTTGCTCCTCACAAACAAGAGTCAAACTTAGTTTAGTTAGACAGTTAGCTTAGATCAAACAGCCAGCCTGCATCATCCAGTGCCAGTAGAGATTAACTATAGAGCTGGGTCACTCTCTCTCCACATTAATCCACATCTGTAGCTTGATTAGAAGGTTTCAACCTTTCATGTCTGCTTGAAATGTACATTTGCAGAGTTCATGTGGATTGTGAAACATTACCCACCCAACAAAAGTGTGTCTTGTTCGGAATGTTGCACTTGTCTTTATCCCAGACTGTTTCTGATATTCATTTGCACTACAGCTCCCTTAGGACAAAGAACAATAACTATTGTTGGAACAACATCTGTAGAGTAATAACAACAATAGTTAAGTGTTTAATGGCACAATAAATCAACATGACTCTGAGTCAGCTCTTTTGTCACAGGGGTTGTGACTGCGTTCAAAATGAGATATGATATATCTGCTAACTAAACAGAACATTAAAACCTGTACACGACATTCACCCCTTGCCCAACTTTTTCAGTGTTCACTGATGAGTTAATGAGAATCACTGATATTTGTAATCAGAGCTGTATTTCTACCTTGTAGTCTAAGTTTTGATTTGGTCAGACCTCAGAAGTTGGGATAGGAGTTCTCCAAGGTAATTAAGTTTGGTGTTGTAAGTGTTGTAGGTGGCACTATCTTATAATCAAACTTAACATGACTGGGATCTATCTGTTCCCTGCTCTGTTCAGGACTAGCTACTAGCATGTAACATGAAACAGGATCATTAATCAACAACTGGAATTTCTATCACAGTTTGCAAAAAATACAATGTTTCAGTTTTCTTTATCCTTATTGATAATGCTGTTAGTATAATATTTGGAAATATAAATCTGTGATTTTACCCTAGAAATGTTTTACACTATCTAAATGAGTACCGTAGGGTTGAGGGGTTTCCAGTCCTGTTCCTGGAGAACTAGTCAGTGTGTCTGTGGGATTTTCAGACCTGTTTACAGCATCAGCAGACAAGCTGGGAGAAGCAGTTAAATTGATCCAATTAAGATGATAACAAGATGATTTAAGCCATTAGGAATTAAGCAGGAACAAAAACCCCTGATTGGGATTATCAGCCCTTCACCAAGTAATTAAGAAGAAGTGTTAATTAGGAGAAGATGTGCCACACTCGTGATCTTTTTCATTTAGATGACATTCTCATTTTTGTTGTGATTAAAATCAGGAAGGTAAGGTGTGATAATTAATTTTTGTATTTCCAAAAGCAGGACCTAACCAAAAGGAACATTTTTTTCTCGGTTTTTAACATCTGTACAATTGAAAACATCTACCATTGTTTTGGCCTTAAAGTAAATGGGCTGTACAAACAGGTGAGGTGTGAGACTGGGATTCAGAATGGATCAGGAAATAATAAAGTCAGAGATGAGTGCCATTAGTACCAGAGTACTAATCTTAGCAACCGAGCTGGAATATGGCCTAAGGAGCCTGAGAACGGCAGAGACCAAAAGCAGAGCCTAGGGAAACACAGTGGATGGCTCTGGCTCTGCCCCTCACTGGAAGACCTACCTCTTCCTCGCTTCTTTAAGCAGTGTACTCCCATCATGGCCCCTACTCTGATACCCCCACATCTGAGTATCCCCACACTGGGGCCGAAGCACACGTCTGCCACACCCACAGCAAGGCTCATACCTTGACCCAAAGCTGACCGCCTGACTGGGAAACGAAGGTGGGGCGGTCAAGACTTTGCTGATGCTGGCTGCTGCAACTCAAAGTGTTTATTTACACTGGATCTACTCTGACCGGACATGGTGCAGTAGAACATCTCCCTGGAAACATCCCCACAGGACAGTAGCTGTGGAACTAGTGCCAATGCATGGCAAGGCCACAGTGGTGAACCAAACTGCACCACTCGCAACCCTATGAGTCCCCATTACCTGTAAAGCGCTTTGAGTGGAGTGTCCAGAAAAGCGCTATATAAGGGTAAGCAATTATTAAATGACTGTCCTTAGCTATGGCACAGGATGTTCTACATAGGAACTTGAGTAAAGAGTAACCTTTGGATACACAGGTATGGGTATTAGAAAACTTTAAAAAAACTTACCTTGACTCTATCGCTTGGATTTGTAGCTGTGAAGAAGTTAGTTGTACAATTCTGTGTTAAGCAAAGAAAAAGTGAAAACAAAATTTCTGATGGGCATCTGCAGGATTCTGTGAAAATTCTGCAATCTTTAAAACTATATTAGTTTATAATTGGATGATATTGTTGGGTTTGGCTGTTTAGTCTGTTTTAGGTTGTTTTGTGGTTTAGGAGTACAGCTGCAAGGGTAAAAATGAGGAAACATTATAAGAAACGCGACTTCTTTAAGAGGGCGGGAAGAGGAGGTCCTAAGCTTGTGATTGTCAGGTTGTTTTTGTTTTGGGGCGTTGCTTTGGGATAGCTGGGACGCCCCTGCTCTTTCTCTGAAGTGAAGGCAAAGCAGACCTGCCCGGTCCAATTGCTGATAGTAGGCAGACTCAACACTGAGATCCCGCTGGAAAAGCCTCTCGAAATAACGAAGACAATAGGCGCTGGAATGGACTCCTCTCCGGTGAGATGCAAACGAATCGAATCGGTCGTTTTTCATTATCTCTATTCAGTAATTGGGATAGGCAGCGGCTTATAAAGACAGGAGACATGTTGTAGCCTCCTCACTGTACAGTGCAGGATGGGGAATCCAATTGCAGGCCGTGGACTAAAAAGTTTGTTTTGGAAAGTGTTATGTCTTTACCGATCATACATACTGTTTTTCTTGATAGTTGAGTGGATTATCAGTTGTAAATTTTTGTTTTGTTTTAAATCCAGTAAGAAAATATAGATGTTTTGGAACAAGTGTTCATATTGTTGAACGCCATTAAATGTATCATCGCTCAGGTTGTTAAACTGAAAATAATTTTGAGGTTCGTGTGCTTTAATGATAATATAGTAGTGGACGTTAATCATTTTCAAGGTTTGTGTTTTTTTTTCATGGCGTTTATTTTGCAACTCGACCGTAAATTATGGTGGTTAAGCAGTTTTTGTTTTACTGCTTATCACTTTCGTATGTGCATTAAAGTGGCCGAGATGTTGAAAAGCATAAAAAAACATTTTTTTTTCTTCGATTGAGACTTCATCAGTACAGCCTTGATGTACTGTCCCAAGACCGTGAAATAATGACGTTATATATTTTTCTCCTTTTCCAAACGCTTTTACTGGTAAAGCTTGAGTGCTCATAGATCTAAGCTTCGTGAAGGTGTACTGTACGTTCTTCTTGGTAAATGTTGTAAGGAAGAGCACATAACGAACTAATACTGCACAGCACATTCAGCATTTTAGCAGTTATATTTTATTTTAAAATAGATTTTGTTAGCAATTAACAGTATAATATTAAAGATGTCTAATAATCATTTTTACTTGTATAAAGTAACTTGTATAAAAAACTCAAAAGTAATTTGAGGTCGATCAGAGCACTTCAGCTCCAAAAGGAATTAAAATTGCATTGCAGTCCTGATTATTTATACCTTGTGTGTTTATTCCATGACAATAGTATGGTTGTGCCAAACCCCAGATTAACATGGATTTGACCACTGGGTATTTTTTCCTCCTGCTTCAGCTCCTGTGGGTTTGTGCTGTGCAATGTAGTGATGTGTTTCTTGTGTAACAGACCATTGGAGAGTTTTTCCACACACTCTGTGAGATGGGCTTCACGGAGATGCAGATCCAGGCTGCAATGCAAGCAGGACACTTTACTGTGCCAGAGGCTACAGAGTGGTGAGCTTCTCTTTCTTACTGATTTATAGAGTTGTGTGGTGTCCAGCATTATGCGTCATTCCTCATGAAAATGGCCGTACAAGTCCCTTATTACGTTTAGAATAGAGAA